ATTTAGTGTTACGTGATGTCAATGAATGTCGAAATATATGACTGGTGCAAACGTGATAATCCTGGCACTCGTGTCATGTAAGAACATGACAACATACCACGCTCATAGCATGCTCGAGGCCGTTTCGCTAACTCCACATATACTAAATTTGGTATCGCGTGACGTGAATGGATGACGAAGGTAAACGACACATCCAAACATGATAATCATGACACGGAAGTCATCTACGGCATCATTTACCTCCACATCATGACGTTCTGCTGAATTTAAATTGACATGTCAACATTTCTCATTCGTGCTTCGCATATCATCGATTCCCATTGTGGGATCTGCCAATTTTCTGTTCTTGGGATTTTTCATTCACTTCTTTTAAATTGCCTTTGGGAGGAATTAAGTGCCTAGGATTGATCTCGATGTTTCATCTTGGTGTTTCTTACTTTCAGATGTACTTTAATACCGAAAGCTGTTATGAGATCAGAACACGGGCCACGCGCACTGCCGTAGTTGTCCGCCGCCGCTGTCGCCGGTGTATCGTGAACCAGTATCGCAGGAATTAAGAAAAACATCTTTAAATATAAAACATAAAAAAACACAATGGTCTTAGAATTAATTCGAATCTGCGGCGTACTATCCAAGCATTCTACTGAGACACGCCAGTGCTTGGAACTTGTTTCCAAGCTCGCCTTAGGCAGCCTTGATATCGGGAAACGAATCGCGTTAGTATGAGTACCTCATAAGCGCGAAAATGCACGCGACAGCGACGAGCGACGCGACGTAGATCGTTTTCGCGCGATCAGTCGCTAGCGCAGGCAAACCTCATTCACGCGACGACTTCGGCGAGCGAACTTCACTGTTGCTGGCATGAGGCCGTCTACTCGCCCCAACAAAACCGTGTAGTGCACTACACGGTTTTGAGCGGTATGCAATTTAAAAATAAGATATATTGTTGTGTGACGGAACGGAAAGTGTTTATGAATGCCTTGCAGCACTTTTTTATATGCATATGCGTAAACGTTGCGTTATTTCTTGTTGCACATACATGACTCGGGCAGGGTCACGTGCACCTATGTAGTGTTTGTCTTTTCCGGTTTTTCGCTATTGGCTGCTTGAGCCCAGCACTTCCGGGCAATGAGCAACGGTTTCCAAATCTGGAGAACCGAGCGATCGCGCGAAAACGAGCACGCGACACGTCGCGCGAACGCCCTGTTTCGTCGCTCATAGCGTCGCTCGTCGCTGTCGCGTGCGTTTTCGCGTTTATGAGGTTTGCTCTTAATAAAGCGTCTTAGAACATAAGGTACAACCAGGCGTCACACAATGCGAATTGCGTAACGAGTGGGTCGTCCGATGCTCCAACCTATTACAAAAGCGTGTTCTTGTTCAGGCAATAGCTACGGCACATACCTACTTCAAGCATTATTTCTCGTCGTCAGCCACTGCATGAACAATTGCACAAAATTCCTTGCAAGTGGTTAGCGAATACCATGCTAGCTCCACAAATTGACGAAGGAAAGCATAATTAATGCAGCCTACTACGCGAAAATTGTGATTATTTATGGCGTAGTAGTTACCGCGCAAGCGTGCTTGTAGCAGTTACCCAGCGAGTATTTAGAAAAGGCTCTAACAGGCCGCTCTTCCAGCATTCTTTGTGACTTTGCTGCGTGTTCCACGCAGGTCTGGTGTTTTTTTTTTTAATCTCACGTATGTAGTTACAGATCGTTTTCAAATATTTCTTTTACTAATTTGTTACTTCCAAGTTATGGAGCTCGTATGTGTGGGTATACCGTATTTGAATAAATACGCCACGCATGTGGTTACTTCGAAATCTTAACAACAATCCGCGAAAGTGCAGGACATCCGGTAATTTACGCTCATTCGAATAGAAACATTCCGACCGAGGTAAAGCTATGCAGCCTTGCAACTGTCAAGTGCCTAAGAAAACAGCCAGCCGCAAGCAATTAGCGGATAAGATAAATGATCATTGACCTTGGTAGCAAATACCGAAGACATAGAAACCGGCAAGTACTTCACTTTCAAATAAACATCCAAAACATTCAATTCCTACAGCAGGACGAAAGCTTCTCTGTCCGACCTTGATATAAAGCTTTGCGCCTACCTTCCATCATGCAGTACACGTACGTGCCTCTCGGACCTGCAAATCACTGATATCGATCACTTAACCCCATTCTTCGAAGTCATTTGCTAACTGGAGAGAGGTGTAGCGCTACAATGCGGGTGCGTAATAAGAAAGAGCCCCAGACACGTGGCAATCAATATGCGTGCAACTTTGATACTGGCTACGAACGGTAACACGGCTGTTTGTCAAGACCTTGTCCGCGTCCGTTTCGCCCCACCTAGTGTAGCACTGTTCACATCGAATCGTGAACGAAATGCAGCCCCAGTATCGATTCTCGTTTTTAGCATATCCTTCTTCATGGCCACTGACTGCACTGCGCTACCAAACCACCGCAGTAACCGACGAACATTAATAGGGGTGGACGTGTATACGTCTAATTAAATTTGTATTTCATTCATTCATTCATTTGTCGAACTTTTTCATGCTCAGAGCATGCTTAAGTTATTATACCAGTGTACTTTAATTGTGCTGGTCTTTTGTGAGCTCAGTCGTTCTCATTCAATAAATTTCTTAGTTTAATGCCGATACCTTCTAATTATTCTACACTTGAAGAAAGTCACTAATACATCGAAATAAAGGGAAACTGGTAGTCGTAATCAGAGACATTGGCACAAGGGTGTTTTTTGTCACTGCGCCACAGTCACCTTTCTGTCGCTGCCTCTGTTTTTTTTTTTTTTATATGCGCAGCGTTTCTTAGCGAACTTCGGGGACTTTGAGCGTATCTATCTATCTAGCCGCTAACGCTTGGGTTCTCTCATGGTCACACCCTTAACTTGGCGTGAACCAAAATTAGCATGGGAGGGTACGATGGATTTGACGAAAATGACGCGCTGGTCAAGACATGAATAATGTCGCCATCACGTCGCGTACGTCGTCAAACACCTCCCGCCAGACAGTGGCACATACTCATGGGCGGGTATGTGCCGCTGGTGAGCAGGTATGTGCCACAGGTGATTGACACTTAGTATCTACCCAGGAACGACGAGAACACAGACGGGCAGTTTTAACGCGTGAGCTTTAAGCAATACCCAATATCGGTAGCGTCGACAGAACGAAAGCATAGAATAATTGTCAGTGTTAGGAAAAACCTGACATAGGCAGCATTGGCCACCCGACGAATGCAAATAATAAATTACAGGGTCCCAGCCGGAATCGAACCCAAGCATTCTGCGTGGCAGTCAAGCATTCTACCACAGAGCTACGCCAGGTCCTGGAACTACTTTTCAAATAGAAGCTAATGTTCGTGAAACGTCAATAGTGGTTGCAGTGCTGCCTACTCAATTTTATAAACGTTACATATGTACTCCTTTCATACAGCCGTCACGTCGGGTTAACGTCAGTTGGGGAGAGGTGCCATGCGCTGAAATTGATTTATGTAGCGGTGCCAAAGGCCAGCATCTTCGCGCGCATCAGTGCTTCATATCAGCTTCTGGTGTTGCTAAATCACATTTTCAGCTGACATGGTTGTGCAAGTGAAAAACTGGTTATATAAACATCTTCAACTCTTCAACACACATATTATCTTCAACATATGTCTCCGCGTGCAATATTTGTACACGTATTTAGCCTCATTCCATGACGTTTCGCTCAATAAAAAATGCATCATCGTCACCTTCCGTCCGCGTGTTTCGCATAAAGTTGGTTCCCAGGGTACGTGGGATTCCGAATTTTTCTGACATTTTGATGTTTGATTGGCTTTCTTCGAGTGTAACCGCGTACCAACTTGCACATCATACGACTCTCCTGAATTTTGATGATCCGTTGTCCTGCAAATAGTTCGCGTTGTGCAAGCTTGGTCCCCTCGTCTTTTGATTTCTCAGTCTAATTCATCAACGGTCACATTTGTTCAAGGGCACCAACAAATACAACATGAGTTCTAATTTATTTTTTACTCTTTCTCAATACCAATAACCTTATACATTCAACGAGAAGTTCAAGTAGGCCATAAAACACTCAAATAAAGGTACAGAAAAAAAATCACAGCATATCCATGGACTGAACGATGATGAGTGGGGCGAAGCGTTGTAGGGTTTCCACGCTAAACCATCCACCATCCGCGAATATCGCCCAATACATCATTCAAGACGTGACAAACACTGTATACATTTATGCAAGAAACTTTATTAATCGTAAGTGGTACCTATACTTCGCTTACGTTCCCCCTTCATTATAACGGCTTCATAGTCGGTGAAGTGGTGGATCGGTGATGGGGCGTAGTGGGATGTTTGCAAGGACAAAGTAGGGGCCGTTTGCAAAGGTGGAAATATAGGCGGTCACGTACAAACAAAGGATGGACACAGTCCGTGGGACAATCTGTGGTTCCTTAACGCGCACCTGGATACAAGTACGCGACCATCATGCATTTCATATTGGCTACTTCTCAACAGTATTTGCTTTATGGTCGATAGTGGGTGTGGACAGTTTTCAAGGGTGAAACTCTATGTGGTCACATACATACATGGGATGGACAGACCTACGCCTTCAGGAGCTTCGCCCCTAAAATACGTTCCAACAATGCGATGGGAATATGAAGCGCGCCGTGATAAGGGACTGATAAATAGCTTAGAACACAATTTAATTAGTTTCCTTTTTTCGTTGCATTCCCTTTAAAACGTGCCCGGGATTTCAACTCGCACCCTCGTGCTTAGCATTACGATGTGGTAGCTTCTGGGCCACCACGGTTCGGTTAAATCACAATAAGTACGAAGTACCTCGTTAGGTTCTACATTCCATAATTATTGTCGAAGTACAGGTACAAGTTTGGTCAAACGTTACCTAAGCGCTATCTCGTGTAATCGTATGGCAGCGTGGCCTGTAAACATTTAGCCATTCCGGTACATGCAACTTGGATATACCTGCGACTTACCTAAGAGCATGGCGAGGCTCATGTTGAGGCTGATGACCCAACTTGTCCTCTCTCTGCTCTCGCCGAATGTTGACACCAGGGCGACAAACAATACACCCCCGGAACGACGCACTAGACTGAGCCAGAAGAGATTCCAGGCCGCAGCCGAGGCCACGAGCCAAGCCCAAGGTCCATCGGGACCTTGATGCCGTCTGTTCCAGGAGGATTCGCGATGCCTCATTTTGGCATTCGTCTTGAAACTCGGGGCTCTAGATTGACGCAAATACACCGACTCCGACTATGCGCGGGAGTTTCTTACAGCGACGTATCTTCGCGCACAACAAGGTCAAGGTTGCCACATAGCAAAGGAGAAGCTCGGTTCAGAATGGAAATGACGTCTCCAGTGCTTCCACCTCGTCCATTCAGCATCTGTCGAATCCGCGACGCTTCCAGAGGGTCGATGTCACCGTAGTGTCGTTGCCTAGCCACGAAATGTCCTGAACTTCCTGCCGTAGAGCATACAGTAATACGTAACTGTCAAAGCTATAAAAACAGTACATCACCTATGGTGATTCCTAGAGATGGCAAAGCACATCATGAGAACATTGAGTGTGTTTAGGTGTCCCAGCATCGGTCATAGATATGACGTGGTATCGGCCGCATCTCAAAGAGTCGGAGCTGTCAGAGTAGAGCGCTTGCCAGGGAAGCTATGCTTATGCGTCGACTTGACTGTATTCAAAGGCACTCCTGCGACCTCTTTTACTGCTTGGACTCTTGAGATAACGAGGAAGGTGATATGAAAAAGCCTAATAATGCGAAATTTTGTGCGACCGTCGCTTGTAGCCTCTACAGCATGTAAACAACACGTGTCTGCAGGATCACCACCTCGCCAAAGCACTTCCTTGTGACAGGCTTTCTTCTATTCCGTATATTACTCAGCCCTTCCTCGGCACTTCCGTCACGCGCTATCGATGGCGTGCGTCCTCAGTCAATAAGCCACTTCCAGGGCTTTCACAAAACCTTCGTACGCCTTCAGATGAGTCTAACTACTTTGAAGAACTCAGCTGCACGGCGCGTCATCTCATAGACAATCACCATGAGAAACAGGTATAGGCTGTCGTTTTGGGAGAAATCACCACACTTCTAAATCACCAGGAGCTGCAATCTTCATATTGTTCACCTTGTCAAGTTCAGTCTTTTCCGAGCGCTACACACGCAAACACCCCCACGCAACCCGGTTTCCTGCTAAGCTAACGGATCCAAGCAAGCACGTGTCGGGTTTCAGCTGATCACTGCCAGAAGCCACTGCTGTTCGCCTTACTTGATATGCGTCCCACCGAGCTCACATCCCACCGGTCGCCGCGCCAGCTGGCAGCTAAAGTGCGTTCTCACGTGTAAGCAACAGGAGCCCTTCACTCTCCCCGCAGACTTTCGTGTACACGTGATAGAGATGTATATGAAGAAAGAGAGAGAAATCTGAGAGGGGGGTGAGGGCAACCAGTTTTTCCGGGGCTCTTTCTTCTTCCTGCTTTTCTTGCCGGTACATCGCGAGAAAGCGGCTGCCAGTGGTTCCCGCGACTAAAGTCCTTCCACGAGCACTCGGTGAAACACTTTGCACGTTCATGCAAAGTTCGCTCGGCGCGCGACGACGATCGGTTGCTAGCGATGGCGTCATGGCGTCACATTACCACCGGTTGCTGCGACTCGCCATCTCCTTTGCGAGGCGTCTTATTATTTATTTATTTATTTCTTGTAGAAGCGGCTTCACTCGGATGATCACGCCTGCGACATCGGGTCGTGTGCGTTGTAACAGCCGTCAAGGTCGAACCGAGCATGCATGAGGCGAATATTGAAGTAACGACGCTGGGCGGGGATTCAGATCTGCGCAGTTGCGACGTTCAGTGCCCGTGCAAGGGCGTAAAACGGGCGGGTACAAATCTGGCAGGGAACAAGGGTGTCTTTGGTAGAGTGCTAGACCCTATAACAGTGCGCCGGAGTTTTTCAAACGGGACAGCAGTGCCAAAACACAGCCTGGCGAGTAAAAGACGCGACATTTGGTTCGTGGGCAAACTATTTTGGATATGGAAGGCAGAAAACGAAAGAGTGGTGGTAGGGAGGTTAACGAGACACCTGTGCGATTGGTCGCCGTACGCTGGGCGAATGGGAAAGGGGAGTAGAGAGACGAGAGGGAGATGAAGGTAGGAAATGATCAACAAAGCTTATGTGGGTGTTGGTACTATACTACAGTCAAATGCGTTGACTAATGCCCGTAGTCGTCAAAAAAAAGAAAAAAAAACCCACAAGTGATGGGGACAGTAGTTCAGCGGCATATGCGGCAGATCGTCGCAACGCATCAAAAAGTGTTATTCTTTCAGGGGCAGAACGAGGGCAACAGCACCGCAAAATGATCAATGTCTTCTTTGGTGCCGCAGACCTCGCGTGCCGCGCTGTCTGTCGCTCCAGTTAATCTGGTTTATGCCTTTCTGAAGGCGGCTCCCAAACAAAGCCGACCAAAAGAGAAGTTGCACGTCGAAGAAGTCCGAATGAAGGATGGAGTTCAAGCGCTGGGTGTATTTCCTGGAGTCTCGTATGTCGGTCACTGCCTAAAAAGAAGGAAAACTCACATGGTCTTTTAAGCATTTTGGTAAAATCACTGGTGGGCGAAAGATAATTTCTTTTGATTCTTAGTCACTTGTAGCGACTCCCTCTTCCTCTTCCCCCCGAGAGCTTTCTGGCCACAGCGCGGTTTTGTAAAGCCTCCGGGATCAGAGGCATTGGAAGCTTTTTGTACTTTACGTATTTTTGCAGTGCCTGTGTGATCAGCCCACCTTTGACCAAACGACGATGTCATATGATGGCATTGACATGTGACGTCACAGAAGGGAAAATACAATACACGAGCATAACTTTTGTCTTCACTTGTGTCGACACCGACGACACTGACGGTCACTTTTATCGTTTAAAAGAGGCGTTTAAAGCTCCACCCACGTAACCAGGATGCGCTAGCTAGTTGCCTCTGTCACAGGAGTTAGTTTTGTAGAGTTAGCTACACCGGTCGAGACAAAGTGGTTTCACGTGCACGTACAAGAGTCATGCTGTGCATGCGCGAGGAGATGGGACTGCGCATGTCCCGCCGGTTACGCATGATGAGGATCATGATGACCACAGTATTGTCCCGCCAAATAAGGAGGCCCTCTACTCCACGTCGCCGGCACACGGGCATAGGTGACGGGGGCTGGCACCTCCACGATTTGAAGCTGCAGCGAAGAGGTTTTGACTCCTCGCGGCTTCTTCTGCCAGGCGGATGGCTTCTTGCTGGGAAGCAGGGTCCTCACTCCGCAGCAGAGCTTCTCAGGCATCTAGAATTTATATTTTCATTATCGCCTGGGGAGCTATCACACTCCCATACTGTGGTCTAGGGCCCCTCTCGCCCCACAGTGCTTGGAGCTATCCTTTTGCCTATCATATTTCTGAACAGATGCCAAGACCGGGTTCACAAAATTGGCAACTTGCAGGCGCCGCCGCGCGACTGTTTTCCTATTGTTGAGGTTTTTCTCTGGTGGTGGCACCACTCTTCGAAGGAGCCGATAGTTCCCAACGATTTCCGTGTAACTTTCCCGTTCCTGGTAACGAGGCGGCCCACGAGTTAGCCCGAGCCCTCTACTTCCACGTGACTATGGAGCCGACCGACTGCCAGAACATGGGCGAGCGTCTGCACGGAAATTGCCGGTCTGTGCATTCCAGAGGAGTGACGTCATAGGCGCGGGAGATGCATTCTGATCGCACCCAGGGGCTTGTGCATCTTGAGCAACGCTGCTCTCTTTGATCGCATTTGCCGCAGCGCTAAAAATAAAGAGAGAGCGAGAGAGAGAGAGAACGAAATGGCTGCTCAGCGTATCCTAACGTGTCCGTACAACATTATATATGTATAAAATCTGAGTAGGGCTCTAATTTAAGAATGAATTCGTTTCTTTATTTAAATAAATATATGCATTCGATCAAGCACCACAATTTCCTAGGTCATCAGTAATCTTTCTATTATATAACCTCCATTATTCTTAAAATGCACAATATTTTGTAAAACCACTCAATTCTTGGCCAGTCCCACACAGTGGGTATGTGCCACGCACAAGAAGAAGAGCGCAGAAGTGACTCAACTCATCAGATCCCGAAGTAGTTGCCTGGCAATTCATTAGCCGTTGAGCGTAGAAAGGACAAACAGAAGAAGGCTGAACGTCCTGCGGAGACACTGGAGCAAAGCGGGAACGTCTAGCACAGCGGTGCCGCCTGGAGGCCGATTGGCTGACTGTACACGGTGAAACTTTCAGAAAGCGCCAGTGCGACTCGAATATTCGAGACGGACTTCGTAAACGATCGGTTTGGACATGTGCGCGACGTTTGTGAAACTGCGGCGCACGAAAGACTGGACTCGTGTAATTAGTGTCATGCGTGAGGCGTTCCGTTTAGTGGCGCCCTCTCAGCTCACGCTACGTATATCCTGGCATACCCGAGCTACTGCCAGATTTTTTTTTTTCCTTCAAAGCACACCTACTTTCTCTCCTCTAATCCCCTAATACAAATACTAACCAATCTATTGATACAAGTTGGACGTTTCCGTATAAAATATTGCCTCTCGCTGGGAACTGATTTCAGAATCTTTGAAAAGCTTGTCGGGACATTCTTGTTTTCTCAAGCTGAAACCGGTGATACCAATGTACCTCCGTATGTGTAACATTTGACTGCACTGAAAGTTGGCAGGTGTGTTATTATCTCTGTATCGATGACATGATATGCCTGGTGGCCGGTGGGGAAAAGAGCCCGGTTTATTGAACGTCAGCTGGTTATATGCGTTGAATGCGTGCGCATCAAATACATCTCTACACAGTTCATGCGCATATCTTGCGCCACGTGTACGATACAATCTCTTTTTATGGTTTTTAACTTCTTCTTTAACGCTTCCATAGTTGAGTACGAAATAATGTGAAAGTACTCTAGATAGTGAAATACTCTTTCTAAACACTCGAATTGAATGTAGGACGTCGGTAATCTTTAAGGCATATACGTCGCTTAGGGTCGCCTGTCCGCTCTCCTACACTATAGAATACCAAGTACTCTGAATCGTAAAACACATTTAGGGGCGAAGCTCCTTACGCCGTGGGTCCTATGTCCCGTGTAGCCGTAGTAGCCAATCGCATTGCATTGCATGTCGATAAAAGCTGTGTCACGGAATATCCACGGAGTGAATGATCAGTGGGACGAAGCGCCCGTCTGTCCGCTTCGCCCCACTTGTCATCATTCACCTTGTGGATATGCTATGATTTCTTCTAAACACACTTTTTTTTCATAGGCTAGTTTGTTGCTGTGCCATCGTGAGGCACGTATGGTATCCTAAATCGTCAGTGGTTCGTTTAAAAACTCCAACCACCCATGGGCGAGAAATAATTTCATAAGCAGAATCGCGAGTTGGGCATGTTGGTGTATACGTTCATCGTAGGATATTTTACAGCGCAACGGGTTAGATACGGGCAGAGAACACAGCGATGAACTCACAACTGAAAATTTTCAGTTGTGAGTTCAGCGCTGTGTCCTTTTCTCTACTGGTATCTAACCCGTTGCGCTGTAAAATATTACAGTGTGATGTCATAAGCTGGACGGCCCTTGACCCCGCCTTCAGAGAACATTGCCTAGCGCATGAGCGATCCTATGTACCTATTCCATGTTTGTAAACAGCGGAAAGTGACGCCGACATGCTGGGGACCTTGTAGCAACGTCATGGTGCGTAGTCCGCCTATCCCAAAGCACGCCATCTTTCTCTATGATCCCGTGACATCTCGCACAGCAGCTACTTCCGAGCACAGCGCGTCGGAAAGGCAGCTTTGATGCTGCTGTGCCAGTTCTCACGTGATCATAGAGGGCGGTGGCAAAGTTTGGGATGGGCGTAGCATACGCACCAGTCTGTACTAGAGGACTGCACGAGCCCGGGCGGGCCTGTAAGCCCGGGCCCGGCCCGCGGGCAGGGTAACGGACTGTTGGATAAGACCCGAGCACTTGAACAAACATGTTATTTTTTTATGTTTCACTTTATGCGTTCAATAAAATGCCACATTATCAGATAACGATATCTTTATATCCACAGCAAACCTACATAAGGTTGAGCAGCATCGGCCGGGCCCGGTTTTTTGCTTCTGTGTGTCCGGCTGGGCCGGGTGCGCTGTCGATGTGATCAATGGACCAGGCTCGAGCTCAGAAGTGTGGCCCGTGCACAGCTCACTGAGGCACTCAAACCGGTGTCAGCAACTCCCGCAAATAAGGTGCCCTGCTACCACAACGCCGTGCCCCCAAAAGGGAGGTAACGGGACCCACGACACATTTTAGGGACAAAGCTCCTTGGGGCGTGGGTCTGTCGCTCC